ACTTCCATAGAGTCCTCTGTTCTCCTATTCTTTCCAATACCTCTTCATTTCTAACCTTTTCTACCCACGTTATCCTCATCATCCGCCTATAACACCACATTTCGAACGCTTCTAACCTTTTCTTTTCCTCCGCGCCCACTGTCCATGTTTCGCACCCGTGCAACGAAATTACCAACGACCATAATGGATTTATTCAAAATCTACTTCGATTTTGCGATTTAAAAGGAGTGTGAAGAACGTACAAAATTGTCTTTCATTGAGAATATATTAGTGGTGTAATTATCACCACCCGCTTTGTTAATTAATTAAAAAAAGGTAATCAGTTTTGAATGAACGACGGCTTTAAGAACAAAAACGAAAGTGGTTTTCCCTTTAATGCTTCTGCGCTACATCAACATATAAAATCGATTGGACGGGAAAACTTGCGCACGTTACATATTGCTCTTATTAGAATGACTCATCTTGGTATGATTCCTGAAATTCCCATTGTTAATAAACTGTTATTAATTTTCATCTCTATTTGCGCTATTACTTGTGAATAACAACTTAATTACGAAAGCATGAAAAAGAAAGGTGCGCCAATAGATAAGGATAAATCTCATGTTGGCTCTTAAAAGGGTAAGTAAAATTAAGAAATATAAAATATCTTCTAAGGTTTACAGTTTTGAAAACTAACATGTCTATGTATTTTATTTACAATATATATATATATATATAAGTGGATTGTGACAAATACTTTTTACTACTTTTACTTTGGGACTTTGGCATTTCTTACAAACATATCCATCAACAAACTGGGGAGCTAGCTGTTGCTTCAGTNGAAACAGATACGGTGGCAAACAGATTAATAAAGAGCAATTAAAATTAATTATATCAAGTATTCTCACCTTAATTAATTGTAGAACGTAACGTTCCAAAGTTTACAGGTGTGAAAAGCAAACTAACTACAGGAGGAACACCGTAGCAGAGAAGTTGTTATTTGAGTGAAATTCCAATAAATATCCAGTTGCTCTCACTCATGGGTTGAAAATTAACTGCATGATGATACAAGGTGAAGACGAAACAGCTATCAGGAATATAATCCACGAAAGACCACACCCATGTAGAAATTGGCTGTTTCAATATGACCAAACTGAACATCAATTCTCTTATTTGTTGTATAATCTACAGAAAGGAACAAAAAGATATATTAACTACACTTATAATTAAGAAACACATTTAACACAAATAAAAACGCACCAAATGCGAGTAAAATAGTTGAATTATAAATTGACGAGGCGTTACTTTTACGCCATTTTACATCACAACTATAGATCACGACATAGATACATGTCAAACAACACGAAGTCAATTTATGATGCCGACAATAGAAAAGCTTAAAAAAGAAATTCCATAGATGAACGATAAATACCTATTTATTCTGTGAAAAACAGAAACTGTCAAAAGAAATATGGTTGCTCCACAACCTCAATTTATACTGTGAACAATTAATAATTGTTAAAAGAAATGTCATAACAGATTAATAAAGAGCAATTAATAATAATGAAGTCATGTATTCTCACCTTAATTAACTATAGAAGGTAGCGTTCTAAAGTCTACCAGTGTGCTGAGCAAACCAAATCTGGAAGAGATATCCCTGCAGACAATTTGTTGTTTCAGTGGAACTCAAAAATTCAGTTCCTCTCACTCATAGGTTAAAAATTCACTGCATGATGTTGCAAGGTGAAGACGAAAACATAAGATCAAGAATATAGTCCACAAAAGACCACACCGATGTAGACATTGCCTGTTTCAGTATGATCTAATTGAACTTTAATTTTCTCTCATCTGTTGGGCAATCTGCAGAAATCAACAAAAAGGCATATTAATTAAGAAACACATTTAACACAACTAAAGATGCATCAAAAAGCAAGTAAAATAGCGGAATTATAAAATGACAAGCGTTACTGTCACACCATTTTACATCACAACCATAGATCACGAAATACATAAATGTCAAATAACAGGACGTCAATTTATGACGTGTAATAGAGGTTAAAAAGAAATTCCATAGATCAATGACAAATGTCATTCTGTGGAAAATAAAAACTGTCAAAAATATAATTCGATTGCACGATAACCTCAATTTATACTGTTAACAATAAATAATTGTTAAAAGAAATATCATGACAGATTAATAAAGAGCATTAATGTTAATTAAGTCATGTATTCTCACCTTAATTAATTGTAGAAAGTGGCGTTCTAAAGTCTACCAGTGTGATTAGCAAACCAAATCGAGGAGGGATAAAACTGCAAATTGCCTCTCATTGTTGCGGCAAAAATTAATTGCATAATGTTGCAAGCCGTCAAAAGCATCGGTTGTTTCAGTAGCATAAAAATTAACTGCGATTCCTTCTCATTTGTCAGACAATCTATAGAAACAGGCAAGAAAAAGTAATTAATTACCATTTTTAAATTAAGTAAATCAGAAACACTGATGGAAGGATCAGTTCCACATTAATTCTACTGTTCAGCTTCTGCCATTTCTAAAACGTTGTTTAAAAATTGTCAACTGAAGCAAGTTACGAATGTCTAAGAAATTGAATTTATCTGACGATATCATTTACTATTTTTAATTAATACTGTTGCATACCAATTCATTGTTATACATCCTTTTTGCACTGTCTTCTTCCCAATGGAAAAGGCACTTTCATGCTTTCTTTAGGACCATGCGTAGAGCTACTTTCCAGAATAAATGAGAAGTTTTTCTAATGTTCCTGTAAAAGAAATCTTATGAAAAAATATTCATATATAATTAATTTAATTTTAAGTAAATAATATGCATGATACATTGTTAAAGTAATACTAAATCCTTTTCTCTGTTAATATCAAATAAATACACTACATGTATATATAGTAGCATGTACGCTCACCTTAATTAACTGCAAGAGCCTCCAAGATGAAAACAGCTAAATCAACGTAGGAGACGACTTATCTTTTCAGTAAGCAAAGGATACCAGTTCCAATCTCTCAATTGTTGGCCAATCTGTAGAAACACAAAAACAATTATTAACTGAATTTAATTAATGATATTTCAAAGGTGTCTACTAAAATAATAAATACATACTGTACTATTCATTAATAAGCAAATAGACATCTCTTACNTTTGGTAGAGAAGATCGGACAGATTTCGCCAAGGCAAGCTGGGCAGTCGCCTATTGCTCCTATTCCAGATAACCCACTGTACCCTGTCTGAAAGGAAGTAACGCTAGAGTAGACTCACGAAAAGTGTATAAGACACTCTTAAGATCAACTAAATAGCTAAGCCCAAGGGATTACTTTTATTTCTAATTTTTTATGTATTATCAGGGTTTGACCCGTAACTTGATTGATTAATAAATGCAAAATATAACGTATTTTACTGTAGCTATAGTTTGATCATTTTAAGCAAATTAATATGTTTTATATGCTTTAATTTATACGTAATGAAACCGGAAGATTTCTTACGTAAATCCTAAATAAACATTACTTCAAGTTACTTTACGTCAACCAACTCATCTGATTTAGGGATCTCAAACTGCATATTATGACAAAAATGTTAAATTTCTTCGAATTTCATACTTTGACAACGTAAATACACGGTTTCTTTAGTTTATAGCTAAAACTTCATTCCTATTCATTGTCATTCAATTTAAAAACACGGATATTTTTATACAATACAATGCTTTTTGAAAATGTAGACTTTAGAAAAAAGGGGTACATTACTTTTCTTCTTAATCAATCGCTATTTTTGATTAAGAAGCATATATCTCCGTTTTACTATTACTTTACTACATTTTTATACACGCACCACAATTTTTCCAAATAAAACTAACAGGTTTTCTCCGCATCTTTCTCTATCAGAAATCGCATAAAAAATTGTAATTAAAGGACACAAGGAAAAATGCTCACCCTAGAGAAATTTACGAAACAAACTCAAAAATTCATTCAATCTTAAGCGCCGTAAAATCGTAATTAAATTTATAGAAATAAAATCCAAAAAGGTACCATAATTTGAATTTAAAATACATATGGTTTTTGATACTGCTCGTCTTTGATATAGGCAACCCACTTCACTACAAAGTATTCTGGGCATAAGGCTGCAATAAAAGTTCTTAATTCCTTTACTTATTAAATACTAAGACTTTCAAAATCATAATTTAAAATATTAATAATGAAGAAGTAAAAAAGTTTTTAAATTGGGGGTTAAAAGTGTAAATCGATGTTCTATATGAATTTTTGTGACAAAATTTGCAAAACCTAGTGGAGCTATAAACGCCAACCAGGCCTTTTTAGAAAAAACTTGCATAAACTAAAGTTTGCAATTACCTACAACTTCAACTAAATAATGGACAATCTAACGATATTTTACAAAGAAGTACCATACGCTCGTCACCCTATGCTTAATGTTAACCAAACTGACAACATTAATAAAGGGTATTTTATTTTAATTTAACTACGTATTATTACCTGAATTAGTTGTAGAAAGTAACGGCCATGATTTACATGTGTGGAAAGCAAACCAAATTAAGAAAGGATACTAGTGCATACATCCAATGACTTCATCGCTACGGCCAAAATAAATTCCTAATCTCTTATTTGTTAGCCCATCTGTAGAAAGGGACAAAAGAATAATGAAATACTTTTAATCAATAATGTTTTAAAGGTAACTGCTAAAATAAAATACACACAATGTACCATTCGTTAATTAGCGGAATAAACATATGCTACGATATTTAATTCTTATCATTTTTCTTCTGATTTTCAATTTAAAATCAAAATATAAGTAAAGATAGTTGTTTATATTACCGTTTTAAAAAAAAAAAGATAAATAAATGATCTTCCTTTATATTAAGCTAACATTCACACTGCCAGAAATTTCTGCTATTCTGCTTTTGACATTTNGAAAATTTCAACTTCTCCGTACTCAAACGTACCGATACCAAAGAGAAAATAGTGTTACCAAATGCCCAAGGTAAAAAAATAGTATCAGGAAGGGTTACAGATAAGTTTTAAAAAAAAAAAGATAAATAAATGATCTTCCTTTATATTAAGCTAACATTCACACTGCCAGAAATTTCTGCTATTCTGCTTTTGACATTTCTGAAACGTTGTTTAAAATCTCTCTATTGAAAGTAAATTATAAATGTTTAAGAAATTGGGGATTCTAGGACTTCATCATTTAACTGTTCTAAAACACTTTTAATCATATTTTTGTCTATTTAAACTAAAAGCATTATTATGATTTAAAACAGGTTTTAAAATCTTACCTAAATCGTAATGTCCTTGCAGTCAGTCCTATAATAAAATTCAACCCATATTAATGACGTGTGGTATTTGTGAGCCATCTATGTATCTAACATCAATCCAGAGGCAATACGTAAAGAATCAGATTTTGTCCTTTTGGTTGTGTTAACTTCTGCATAGTGCATTCATGATGTTGGCAATTCAATGCGGTAAATGAACGAGCACCCTTTGGGGTACTGCTATGCTTCACAGCATACGACGTCCAGAGTTTATGTAGTCCTGTGGAAAAATGTTACATTAAACAGTAGAATTTTAAACCATAATTTGGAATAATCATGCAAACAAGTATTGTTATTAATTTTAGTATTTTCATTATCTCCGGAAGGATACATACATACATACTATGTTAGTACTAAGTATTGAATTGTATGTATTTAATATTGATATTATGTATTACAGAGTTTAGTAAATAATTATAAATAAAATTAGACAATTTTTAAATATTAATTATTTAACACAGAACGTCAAAATATTTAGCAACACAAATCTTATTACAAAAGAACTTACCATAATAAACTACAAGATTCTTCAAGTTGAAAAAAAGGACAAACAAAATGCAGGTAGAATTCTTACTATAGAATCAACCTTGTCTTCTACAAAATATTAATGTTATTAGTTTTCATTAAAGCAGAAATTTTGATTTAAAACATTTAAAACTAAAAGGGTCTTCCTATTATTATTAGTTTTTGCAAAATTCACTGAGTAATTCATTAAGAAATTAAATTACCTTAGTGCAACTAAATATAATAAAAAGTTAATAGCCAAGTGGCAAATAAGTCTTTTAATTGTAAACGTAATTAATGTTAAATGGGGCCAGGAGAGGTTTATTACGCAAATTAGCACGTTTATTATACAATCATTAGCTTATAAAACCACTGTTAACAAATTGTGTATAACTAATTTGTAGTTTNATTATGTATTTTAAAATGAATTTATTAGTTTGTCAAATTAAATTTTACAACTTTAGTTACACATACAATTGCTTAATATCGTTTAATTTTTGTAAAATTTTTTGTAAGTGTAGAAGCAGTTCACATTAATACGTAAATAAACAAATAAATGATTTTCTCTTTCACAAAGGTCTAATTACCTTTAATTAATGTTGTCCTTGACCTTTATGACTTTATGATGGTGCCACTCGATATGATTTCAGGGGAAAAATTATTTCACGCTTGTTACAAGTACTGTTACGTTCTGGAGTATTTCTGAAGGAATGAGGACTACTGAGAACTACTATCTATGAGGACTACACTATTCACTATAACTATATATTCACATTTACATAATTTAGTCTCACAGTAGTAGAGAATGTATTAATAAAATGTTAAAAGTAAAGCTGAAGGCCACAGAAGTTTTTACAAATGAACAAATCTATATTTAAGCAACATGTCTTTAAATTCCTTCGTATTAATGGAATTAAAAATAATTAAGGTTATATAAATATACAAAGCTAAGGTCATAGATAATAATGTAAAATTAAGGAATTTACATGTGATTGGACAAGCATGATCAGGGGTGCGTTCAGAAATGTCCCCGCGGAAGTAAAAGTTCCCTGTACCCGTTCAGAAAAACCAGAAAAGTTATCCGTAAAATGGCCGACGATTACAAAATACGTTTAGAAACTGTAGTAATTATTTCCCGTGGAAGTCTAAAATTACCGTGCTCGGTGAGTTCGGTAAAAATTACTTGTTATGTGCAGAAGGATATTTCATTCAAAATTTAAGTGCATGATTCAAATTTAATTTTCCACGGCGACATTTCAGAACGCACCCCAACATTATAGATTTGAAATATACATACTGTAGTAATTTAACTCTAATTTATAATCGGTACCATAATGTGACCATAATCTATCATAATTAATATCGTAACCATAGATATAGATATTGTATCAGTCTGCGTTCATCACTGTTGTGATTTGCTGCGTAAGTAAAACGTATTACAAAATTTGATTAATCGTAAAGTAAAATCATTAAACTATTTTAATTTACAGAAATTGATATGAAGAATACAAAGAATGCATAATAGCATTAGTTTCATCTGAGAAGGTTATGGAGTGCTTTAGATAAGGTTTATTATTTAACAACATATTGATCTAGACGTTTATCACTGGTAAATTATTTCTTGATTTTTATTTTTATTGTTTACAAAATATTTCGGTAATCATGGATAGTACCTTATCAAAGTTTACTGCAACGAGAACAACCCCTGTTAGCGAAAATGCTAAAAAACGAAAGTATACTACAACAGCAGATAGTGTAACAGATAACGTTGATAACTGGCACTCAAGTAGTAAAAAGTTTTCTCAACAACCACTTTCCACATGCAGTATAAATAATGTCAAAGAAAACAATGAAAACATAGTTCATGGTTTTAACTCTGGTTTGAGCGAATCAAATATAAAGCAGTGTATTGAAATGATAAACTCTACACAAAAATCAAGTCAGCCAAGCAACCAAAGCCTTTGTCAGTCTGAAAATGACAAACAAGTAGCAAATCATACAGTAAACTCAGTGGAGCCTAATTCTAATCATATGATAGAGCAAAACATCAATTATAACAGAAATAGAATTCAAACATATTTTTCTAATGGTGAAATTGGAAGTGCTGATACACCCATTTGGTTAAGTAATATAAATAATTCACAAAGAATGCTACTAAATTGGCATCCTTTTCATCATAGATTATACTTAAGACAGCAATTAGAAATGGAACGAAGACGTGTTTCACTTTTAAAGAACTCATCGAGGAACCCCTTGGGTTTTAATCATATGTTTGTAGGACAAATTGGAAGAGGAATAATTCCTTCACAGACTGATGAAAAAAAATTAAAATTAGAGTTATTCATAACAGCAAATACAAGAATCCTTTCTTCTAAAGAAACAGTAAATTTGGTAGAAGCAACATGTGTTATTTGTTTTATGAAGTTTAAAGAGCAACAATTAATTCGTGAATTATCTTGTCTGCACAGATTTCACAAAAATTGTATTGATAAATGGTTAGTAAATCAAATGAACTGCCCTATTTGCCGTCTACCATTAGGTGAAAATTTTACTACAACTTTAAATGCTGATTGCTCAGTAAATCATCAATCTTTATTAAATAGCCAATCACCTTTTGTGCCAGTTAGTAATGGATATTATCTAAGTAAAGAAATAAACAATACACTAAGTGCAAGTAATGGTAGTGCAACAACTGAACCTGCTGAAATTAGGGATTTCAAAAATAACTTAGCAATCCCTTGGGAAGATAACATAAATATTGCAAATGACAGTAAACCAGATACCAGTAATGTATGCACACAGAATCTTTTACATTGCAACCAGTCTGAAGATACTAATCAAAGTCAAGAAACAACAGACGACACAAGCAAGTCTACAGTCCAAGTAATATGCTGAATACAACTACAATAGAAATTAATAATAATAATAATGCATCTGCATAATTCCCTTGTTTTATTATGCATTAATTAGTTTTTGAAAACTTGTTTTAGTTTTCTATCAATATTATGTAGCACAATGTAATGCAGATTTTTTTTAAAAATAAACGCAATTTTCTGGTACAATGTCTGTAATTTAATAAGGGCACAGTAACAATTAAGAAATAAAACATTATGGAAAATATATATTTTCACACAGGTATCTTGGTATTACAATAATAAAATATAAAGTGTAATAATTAATGCCCTTTAATACAGTACATTTTTAAGGGCAAAAAAAAGAATCTGAATATAAATCTACTACCTGCTGCTTATTCTAAATGCAAGATATGGATTTTATTTAATGATTTATAAAAATGGAACCTACTTGTATAATTAACATCTATATTTGCAAAATTATAAATATTTAAACCTGTACCAAAGCTTGAAACACATGGAGCTTTTAAGTACATTCCATTCAAAATAAAAACAATAGCTAACATGTATTAAAAAAGAATAACAGCAAATATACTAAATAAGCACTTTATGATGTGGTTATTATGGTGATGAGCAAAAAAAATTATATATGAAAGCAAAATGTGAATTTCTTTTAAACATTTTACACGTCAAATGATAGTACTATTTGTAATATTTAGAAAAATATTTTAGACAATTTTTAAGAAAAGTAAAAAATGACAAATTCAGACTTTTCGTAATACTTATTTTGTTTACTCTAAAGCTCCATTATTAAGATTACAACATACAATGACTTGTTTTATACCAGTTATGCAATAAATACCACATAAAATACATAAATATTTCCTTATACCGATTCTGTGGGGCTTTGGAATTCAGAAAGTGCATGTATCGGATTTTGAACTTTCTTTTGCGACCCCTTTCTAACTTTGGCACGAACTTCTTCGGGTTTTTCTGGCCTAACCAGAGGTTTTTTCTCAGGGGCTTTCATCTTCCAGACGACAATTGGAGACTATTAAATTTAAATTAAATATAAATTACAAAAGAATGTTTTCTTTAAATAAACTTACTTGTTGCTGATTTCAAAAGAAGCATTGTTAAAAAAAATATTTCATTAGTAAATAATTAATTATTTTCGTTATTTACCAAGTGTTTTTTTCTATATTAAGATTAAAATACTCAATTTTTTATTTAATACCTACATTATTTTTAAAAAACTAAGACACCAGAAAAGGTAAAGCAGAACGCCTGAATGGATTTAGTAACTTAATTTAGTTTATAGATATAACTTTCATTTAAAAAATAATACTTACAGCAACAGTTCCTTGTCTTGGATATTTGGTTGAAGCAACATAAGATGCTTTAACGGTTAGCACAACAGCATTCATTAAATTCTTGGCAGCTTGAATCAAAGAGGTTGCACTATCCAACTGAGAAAAACAGTAAATATATAAAAATTATATTACACTACAATCAACGAAATTAAAATAGTAATTTACCACATACCCCTGATACTATTAGTTCTCCGCTAATATTTTGAACGTCGGCTTTAACTTTTGAAGTAATATTCATCTGATGACAGTAAAGAGCAATGCGTTGCAGATAAGCTAATAGATCTTTTTTGGTAGAACTTTCTGGACACTGCTCTGCAATCTGTCTTGTTAGTTTGTCTAGTTTAGTACCAGCTTCTGAAATTTTTTTAGCTGCATTTATTACGTCCATTGTAGTTTTTAATGGACCACGTCCGCTGTAAAATTAAACAAGTTTTACTTTTAGATTGCTAATTTGATGGTCAATACAAAATTATATTTCATTAGTACTTTCCAACACCACTATAGTTTGTAGAACTTTCTGAACTTACCGTGTAAAATCTGTCATTTCCATCATAATCATGCACATGTGTTTAGCAAGAACAATAATGTCATTACCAGTGTCATCCCATTTTGCAACTTCACGATCAAACTTCATCTTTTCACTGCGGAAATATTCCACTTGTTGGAGAATTTTCTGTTTATCTTCTTCCGGCATTTTGCCCATCGCTTCCTTTAATTAAACTTTATTTAGAAAAGACAAATTTTAACAGATAAATAACAACACACCCTAGCTGTGGTAATTCCACTAATATCAGGATATTCATCAATTCCATGTTCACCAGTATGTGCACTTGCTGAAAACAAAAGATAGGGATAATACTCATCACAGACGATATACAGAATTCAACTTACATTTACTGCGTGTTTCTACTGTATTTTCATCAAATTCAACATCTTCAGGATCCAAATCGTCATCAGCCTAAACATAAAGAACATATTATGAGTTTTACATTAAATAAAGCAAACATTTGAACTCTTACTCTATTCATAAGAACAGCCCTGCGAATTTCTCTGACTCCATCATAAACAAGTCTTGAAGCATCAATGAAATCGTTTTCGTCAACCTCTTTTGGTGGATTACTTGAAAGAGCACTAACAGCTACTGCAACCCTTTGACCGAATTTGGGCATTACTTGCTCATTAAGAACCTTTACAGCTTCTAATACGCGTTTTGTGTAAATGCAAGGTTCATAATTGTCCATTTCAGCAGTAACTACATTACATACCCTTGTAGATCGGCCACGAATACCACTAGCAGTACGATCTAAAAAACGACTCTAGATATTACCTTGTACATATACATTTTTCGGTAAAGTAATTTCATTTTGTTCTTCCGCAATTCAAGCCGATGCATCATTTTCAAATTAAACACTAGATATTTATAATTTATAAAGATAAATTTATAACCTAGTGTTTCTGCATCTCCTTCTTGTAAAGCCAAAACACATTTATTAACATCCTCAAGAATATGATTTTCAGAAACTGCTAAGAAATCGTCTATCGTTGTGATGTCATCTACAGCTTCTGTTAAAATGCGGACATGATTTTCCCATGATTGTTTAAAAGCTTCCATGTTCTCTTGGGCTACTTTACTACGAGGGCGAGCTGCCAAGATCCTAGCAGCATTTATTACTTCCGGGCAAAGATTTTCAATTTGAGCAGCTGCATAACGAACCATTTTTACTCCATCTTCATTATTAGACATGCTACATACTAAATTTGCAACCTGTATGGGAAAAAAATGTTTTGAATTCATTATAAAAAATTGTTTATATTTACATACTTCAATTAATTTATTTGTGTGTTCTTGGAACACCACAGCATATTCTTCTACTTCTTTTTCGTTGCCATTTTCTGCAGCTTTTATCAGAACCAATAATGGGACATTGGTATCCATAAAGCTAGTAGAAAGTAAAAACTTTAGATTTTTTAGTGCTATTATTATGTATTTTATTTAATTCAGTACTAGGTCGCAATCGGAATCTTATGTATCCACACGCAGCGTCTTATAAGACGATAGTAAATAAATAAATAAAAACTAATACCTATCTGAGACATGGTCCACAACAGCTTTTCTTAATTGACGACGTAAATCTCTGGTTTTTCTGCCCATCTGATCGATAGCGTGTGTCAATCCATCACTTTGTTCTTTATTTCCCATCTTAAAATAATAAAGAATCACTGTATTACATAATTATAATTAATGACAATTTTCAACACTTTTAAGGATAAAAAAAAATAATTTAGAACACACTGTATAGTGGATAAACAAGCAGAAGTAAGAATAAAAGAAGCCGTTCTCGAAAGTGCCAGTGATTTGAAGAAAACCATTACAACCTGTTCAAGTTTCTTACATTAAAAATATGTTAAAAAATAAAAAACAATAAACCATTAACTACATTTACCATCTTTGTGAATTAAAGAAACAACAAAAAGCTTTTCTTCAGGTGCACACATAGACACAAAATTACATGATATTTACCCTTATCCCTCCCCGTAAAACTTGCAACTGCTAAATAAAATTGTCAATTACTATTTTCTTTTCGTATAACAAATTCAAAAGCAATGTTAAGCTGTTAAAATATGTTAATTTTTAAAGTTGCTTTCAGTTGCATTTATATACATAAACTACTTACATTGGCCATATACTCAGACAACAAATCCTGAAGTGCTTGGCGTACAGCATTGCATTCGGCTACGATTCTTTCTCGGCGTTCATCTCGTGTACAACTTGAATCTGCCATCAGTGCAGCACCACTTATTATACTCTCCAGTCTTTCTTCCAGAGATGGTCTGGTATGAACTTCATTGTAAGCAAGAGGTTCCATTTGCATGTGATCCTTAAATATAAGAAAAAACTTATTTATGAAAATAATAATGTTAAAAAACTAGAGCAAAAACTTAAGGAAATCAATTTTAATTTCAGTCATCAAAAGAGAATAGCATTTTAAGTAAAACTCACATCAAAATCATCAAGTGCAGCTGCTAGCTCCCCAGGTCCATCATAGGGATTCTGAGAAGGTTGTGGAGTTCTTCCTTGTGCTACATCACTTATTGTATTAACAGCTTCACAAACTTGTTTAAGAACATAATCTCGATTCGCTTTTGCTGCAGCTAGTTCAGGATGACGCACATAAACTTTAGAGGCTGTCAATAGCATAGTGGAATGTTTTTTAAGAACAGCTCTTGCTGCAGCCAAATCATCTCTTAATTGGGGATCTTTTAATTCCTGTTGCCTTTTAGCTGCTTGATTCATAAGTTCATTGGCATTTTTACTAAAATTCTTTATGTTATCAAGAAGTTCCCCTTGACTAGATGCATTTCTAAGTTTGTCAATATCATCTTCAACTACTCTTAAAGATTTTAATAACAGATGCACATCCACCATATCTGCTAAAATTAAAAGTCTGGTAACTGCAGACAGAAGATTTCGAGCTGCTCTAACCATGTTTCCCCTTTTCAAAGAAGAACAGGGATCTTCAGAAAATTCCCGAGCTGCAATACTCATTGCATTGCCTTAAAATTGATTCATTGAGTATAAATAAAACAATAGTTGTAATGCATTTCTCACCTGTTTTCCTTACTTCATCAACAGCAGCTAGCATTTCTTGAGTTATGTCTGGATTTTCATAGGCAATTTGTTCACCTTTCTCAATAAAATTCTCAGTTGCTTTTTCAACAGTACTAACAAGTGCATTGGCTCTCTTAGATTTCCCTTTTTTCTTTTTGCTAGGACCTTTTGTATTAACAAGGGTGGTTACTTGTAAAACAAGAGGTTCCAGAGTTTTTTCAACAGACATCGTTCGTATTTCCAAATTTTTTGGGTCCCATTTTAAACCGAAATGATCAGCCATAGTTACAATTATCTGAATAAAACAAATCACAAAAACGTGATAAAACATATTATAATTAATATTACCTATCCGAATTTGGTTCGTATCCTATAAATTTCGAAAAGTATCACTGAAACATTAAAAATAACAGAAACATGAATCACAGCAACTCCCTTTCGCGATTTCTTAATTGACAGATACAATAACAGATCATGGATTACTAATGCTCGAATCATTCATGACAAAATCAAAACTCTTGCGCATTTGATCCTTTAAAAGGTTTGTTCAGTTCACTTATCCAATTGTGAACTTATTAATTTAAAAAAGGAAGTACTCAAACTGCCATTTATAAATATGGGGAGATCAATGTGAACCTACAATTTAAAAGCAACTCTAAATAATTGTTATTTAACTATTTTTGTGGGGGATTTTATCATAAATGTTTGAACAAACACTAACTGATTTACAAGGCGTATTTAATAAGTTATTTATCAATAAAAATATAAAAGCATGCTGTGGCGAAGTAATTCGTAAGAGAACTTACCTCAAATATCACGACACTTATGATGGTATGTATTTGGGTAAATTCTCTTGATTTAAGTTATTTCTTCTCAAAATGTGTTATGTTATATTTCTTTTTAGTTTTATATTCTTAAAAATTAAATGGTAATATATTATCTTACAATTACCGAAACATGAACAATATGACATTAAATGTTATGTATAAGAATATGCCCTTAGAACTTCTGTTTACGATTTTATTTTATAACTAACTAATTCTGTAAAATAAAAATAATGATTCGAGACAAAAGTTACATCTATCAAATAAATCTACCAAGCTGTATTTAGAAAAAAAATCTCTGTAAATACTTTTATTAATAACTGTTTTAAAAGTTATTTCGAATTTTATTCTGTAATTCAGTAATAGGTAATAACTTTATATGTACCTGTAAATATTTAAAATTTAATTTTAAGGATACCAAAAAGTTTTATTAATTATCTATGTTTTATTTTAA